AATGGGAACCCGGAGAAAGGGAAGAGCAGGACACCGCGAGCGACTGCCTGGGACGGCCCCAGCTCCGCTAAGGTGCTTCCTGCTCCCTGGAATCCTCTGGGACTCACCCGTCCTCTCTTACAGCCCCGGCTCCCTTCCCAGGCGAGGGCAGAACAGCCGGACGCCTTCCCGAAGAGCCTCCTCTGCTTCAACCTGCTATTTACTGCAGCGAGTTTTATCAGAGCCGCTTATCAGCCGCAGGCGGGAAGGACACGTGCTCCGCAGGGAAGGTTATCAGCTGGCAGGGCACGGAGGTGGCGCCGCGGCTCCGCTCCTGGCCTTGCTCCGCTCCGCATTCCCGGGAACGGGATGCAGCGAGAGGCGGGAGCCAAAGCGGAGCGCGGGCAGCGCAGGGAGCAGGAGCTCGTGCGTCACCTCCCAGCGCCGTCCTCTGCACACGGGAGAGGTGACAGATGGCTCCGTCCTGGGCTCGGAACGGAAGCGCAGAAAGGGAAAAAGGATAATCCCGACCGAGAAACTGGCACCGGCCAAATTAACGTGCTGGCTGCTTTTCCTCCAGGCCATGGGAGCACAAGCATGAGACCTGCAGACCACAAAACACTTGGCAGCCGACCCGGAGCCCGAATCCCGGCGGGAGCAGCTCCCCTCACTCCGGCCGGCACCTGCCGGATCGCATCTGGCCACGGCACAGGCGCCGCTCGCAACTGCCGGGCTGCTGTTTCACAAGCGGCTGAGACATCCGGAGGGGGCTGGGGACAGACCCGCAGCACGAGCAGGAACAAAAGAGCCACCGGGGAGGCGGCAGCCACAGCCCCGGCACCCCCGGGAGCGGGAACGCCGCTCCGCGGGCCAGGAAGAGCCCGGGAAACGCCGCGCATCCTGCCCTCAGACAGGCACAGGTCACCTGCAGCTCCCAAGTGCTGGGAAAGCTGCGGCTGCGACGCTCCTCCGAGACAAGGATGCTCGGGAAGAAGCCAGAGAAATAAACTGCTCCGCGAGGGTAGGCCAAATAAAACAAACGCTTGTGACAACCGTCACCGGCAACGCCGGGCTAGAAAAAATACAGGAAAAAAACAGCTCGCAATCCCTCCGGCCAGCGCCTGCCAAGGAAACGATTCCTCCCTGCAAGAGGCAGGGAAGGGGGACCTGGACGAGCTCCCCTTCCTCCATCCACAGGAGGCCCCGCTCGGGACCTTCCCAAAGCTGCTCCCGACCTGCTCCCTCTGGAGCGCAGCTGCCACCCGCTCCGGCCTCCCCCACATGACCCCTTAAATCCCTCCGCAGCCGCACGGCTTAATCCGGGAAGGGGATTTAGCCCTCTCGGGCACTCCTGCTCCCAGGAGCAGAAGTTGCTGCCCTGGCCAGGTCTGTCCCCACAACCCGGGATTGGGGCTGATCCCGGTCACGGAGCCCGGTGCAGGCTGGTGATGGGAGCCCGGGGTCCTCCCTGGCACCCCGTGTATCCCGCCCGGAGCAGCGGGAAGGGGGGCGGTTGGGGAAGGCGCTTTACGGAGCTGCCGAGATGCTCCTGCGATGGCGGCGCCGCCTGGGAGCAAAGGGACAACGTGAGGAGAAATCCAGCGCATCTCCCACCCCACGTGCACCCTCTCCGACACGGAGCGGACCAAGAGGTTAACGACGGCGGCCGAAAAGCCCCGCGGAGCACCGGGGATCCGGGCGGGAAGCGCGGAGCCTGCAGGCTGCCCTTGCTCCCGGCTTCAAGGTCATTCCAGCTCCTTATTTGCGCCTGGGAATTAAGAGCCGCTCCTGGAGCAGGGCCACGGCTGAGGATGCGCGAGGGGAACGCGGTGCCGCCAGCGCCGCTGCCCCACAGGCGCCCAACCCGCCCGGCGGGGACGGGCGGCAGCGGGAGCTCCGGAGCGGCCCGGGATGCTCCGCAGGGACAAAACTCGGGGCTCTCTGGAGCGGAGCTCGGTGGCTGCTCCGACCCCGCGGAGCCCCGCGGCGGAGGCTGGGCCGCGGCCACGGCGGGAAGCGGGGC